AGTTTGAGAGACGGCCCAAGCCGGTCGAAGAGAGAGGCCATAGGTTTTAAGGTTAATTCAAATGCGATCCATCAGGATCCTTTCCGCCAAAGAGGGTGTGAAATACCACTTCGATGCTGTTGACGTTACTGCCAATGTAAGTTGGGGCCAGCAAAGATTCTAAGCAAACTTTCACCTCGCTCATATGTGGTAGACAAAAATGCTCATGTCATCTTTTGGCTTCCACACTAGCCGAGCGCCTATCCTTCAATCCGACCCCAATGGTTAGCTAGATTCTAGTTTATAACTACATCAGGTGGGTGAAGGTTAAAAGATAAAGCGTACAAATAACACCGTTCATAAATATATCGTGTGAGTTTTATGTGTCGAAGAGTGAAGATACGTGCATCACAATGACAATTAGAAAAGTGAACGATGTCAAAATTCGCTCTGATACAAGGGCTTGTAAATATTATTTATTTGAAATATATTAATGTTTCATTGTCACAGGCTTTGTACCCCTTAATGGATGGCACTGTATTTTGATCTGTATTTATCTTAACAAAAAATACCAACCGAAATGCCGAGACGGAGGATAGCGCAGTATCTCCGTGTCTTTGAGAAGGTTGCATTTGATACAGGTTACCCAATAAGCGTCAAATGTGTTCGCCATGTATCACTGTTTATTTTATCATACGGCAAGCAACGTAAAAAGTATTTCGGTACATTTATTTTAAATTGTACACACACGTTTTTGAGTCTAGATTGCATCGAAATATATCTAATCCATATATAAACTTTTTATGTGTGTTTATATATCGAATTTGTAAAAAATCGTCACGTTTTCTTTCGGTTTCACTGTATTTCATAGAATCACATGGGGACGACACAACCAGCTGTCGTCTGGTTTCTTGCTTTAACAGTATGCTACAAAAGTTTCTTAAGTTTTTCTTAGAGCTAATTCAAGCTTTTTATTCGTCTAGTTCAGAAATAGGTGGATTTGATATATATATATATATATAATCTTGTATGTCAATGCATTTTCTCGTTTACTGAGGCCATCATCCAAAGATGACCAGTTCACTTTGGGTCCTTTGTGTGGGAAACAACAATTTCTTTAATAGTCTGATACGGTTTGTTTGCTATATAAAGCACACGGTAAGTACCTTGCGATGCCTATTTTTGGGGCTATTATACGTTTGAACATGCAATATATTTTGTTCCTTCTTTGTCGATATATATTTCACTGCAGAGAAGAAGAAATTATAGAAAGAAAGAATCAGTTTGGCTAACATTTGAGAACCGATGGAATAATAAGCAAGTTAATTACGTGTGTAAATTTTCTTCCTACCTTTACAACTTTAAAAAACAGGGTACGATCTAGGTACTTATTTGGGTCTTTTGTAATAGTTTATGTCACTTTTTAATCTGAGAATGTGTAAACAACTAATCCATTTGGCACAGATAAGCGAAGCGGCTTATTCTTCCCCCTAGTGCAAAAACGGTCCTCAGCTCCAATTTGTTCTTTACTGACTTATAACCGCAGACGTTTTCTTCAATATTGTAAAGTTGCTTGTACAATTTTTTACAAAGTTCCTCATAGCGACAGAATCAATCGTTGCATAAAATAGTTATGTAATAACAGCATGCAATAGAAACATCTTAAAAGGTTATAATAGGCTTGTGCTAAGAAGCATCTAAAACTTTCTACAGAAACACCGCAGCCTTCCCACGCTTCCCAGGCATCATCGTTCAGAATATCTTCTGACTTTCTATTCAATACGGTCAAAACGCATTCATTCATTATAAAACTTTCACGTTTTCTTTAGAAGTGAGGTAACGTTCTTTGCTCAACTGCTTTTTCTAGTACAAAATATATCTGTGTAAAGGTTTTCCTATTATACGAACATAATAGACGGGATAAAGAAGCAAAGACTGACACCTTATCAATCAGCCTCCGCTAGATACTGCGGCTGATATTCTTTTCAATCCTTTTTTTTTTTTGCATGCACTGATTCCGATTATAAATTAGGTCACTTTAAAAAAAGTTCAGTTCAAGGGTACCCAGGTGATTAAATGATCTAGCAGTTTCATTGATAGCATTTCTCAGTACTGTAAACGGACATCTGTTGGCCTGCCTGCATCGATCCTGGCTATTCCTTAATTCCTGTGCCTATTTTATAAGTGTAAGCATCTGCGAGTATCTATTCGTTTTATCCAGATCCTACTATGTCCTTTCGACCAATTTTTACCACCTCAACTGATATCCCCGCCGTAGCTATTCGGGCGTGACTGAATAATTCACGCTTCCTCGAAGCCCGGTCTTTTGTCTTTTGGCAATTGATGATAGAATGTTGTTTTTATACAGACACACAGATGTGTACTTTCTAGACAGAGAGCTTTTTACACGATAAAGACACCAGTCTAGCTTGAATCATATCCTGTTTGAGTGTTTACCATAGATCTGAACAGCGCGTGAAATGGTAAAAGCGGATAAAATACTTGCAGCCAATACGGTTAGACTAAAATAATAATCAATTGAAGGAATATTTGATTCAATAAGTGTTTTTCTGCATTAGCCGAACTTCAGGTCAACTTCATGAACATACACTAAACGTCGTTGTTCCGTGTAAAATTTGCTGGAATTGTTGAAAATGAGCTTCCAGCTTTTAAGAAAGGCATTGACAATATTCTGCTTAGAGCTAGTAATTAATAATAATTGTATTACCGCGAGATGCACGGTTGACATAAACTTGTTTTGCTGACTGTTGAGTGAACGCCATTTCTAACCGTAACACATCTATTATATATCTGTAAGGACATACAGCAGTACATTACATTCTTCCGGGATTGCAAAACCTAAAACGTTTCAGCTCTGTTACTTATTCGCTTGATACCAGAATCTTGTTTGTGTTAATCAGAAAAAATCGACTACAAAGCTGAAACTTTGATAAAGGGAATTTGTCGTTGATTCTTGTCAGACAGTTGTTGTTTGCTCCGATGATTCTGAATACGTAACACAGCTGACAGAAATGAATCTCTATGCCAATCTCTTTTAGCGTGGATGGGCCAGACTATATTTCTTGAACGATTTCGTTCAGCCCAATGCTGGGCTCTGGCGCCGATTCGGTCAAATTGTAAAATCGTTATTGGGCACAAAGGCGGTCTGTATGCCTGTGTATGTGCGATATCAATAATCGTTTGGTAAAGGGAAAACGGTTGTCTTCGTCTGGCCTGAGGCTTAGCGCGAGCCAGATTTGGCTTGGGATCGAGTACATCGTGTATGGCTCCCACCATATGTGCCTAACTAAAGTAACTCCTGTCGTGCGTTTGTATGTTGTCCTTTGGACTCTATAGTTTGTTGCCAGTCTATCTATGTGGCCTAGCTCTTAAAGGGCATCGGCAAGCGAGCTTTACGGTTACTGGCAAATGACGGTTAGCTTAGACGTTCTGTGAGCACCTCTGTGTTAGCATACGCGTCGTTCACCGCGACGAAACTACACCTTCTCATTGAGTTGAACAAATCTTGAAGTACTGCAGCAAAGTTTTGGAAAGAGAAAGTCGCACATAGAAACATTCAGCGATAGCAAAACGTACCGTAGCAGCTATAGGCATACTGTACGTGACGTATACGTTGGCGTAGCCCCTTTACCCTTGTCCCGTCGCTTGCGGTAAACGTCGGGACTAGCTTCGTCTAGCGTCAGCTGGCCGCCATAGAATTCTGAACGATGGCTATATCACTAGCGGCTGGTAACGGCTGGCAAACTGTCGTCACCAGGAAGGCGTTGGTAACCTTCAGTCCTGACAAATGATGTAAAAGGAATAGAACAAAGCGAATGAACGGTCCGAAAGCTGCGGTACTGAGACAATAGACAAAGAGCGCGAATAGTTCGAGAACATTGGCTATTCAGTAGGGGAAAGCCATGCCGGATAATGGCCCTAAACCGTTGGAGAAGTGTTGTCATGCCACTTTTAGCCGTTCATAGAAGAAAACAGCACAGCTGGTAAACACTGTATATTTGACCAGACAGACAAAGTACTACAGTTATTACATGGGACGTTTGTACGCCTGCTTATTTTACAACTTCCTAAGGAAACGCATTTAAGAAACGCGGGTGCGTTTATAATGGCGGATGATCAAATCTTATGAATATAACCAAAAGTGTTCTAAAAAACGATAGTTGGATGACAACCTATGTAACCAGACCTATTACACGTTCACTGGAATAATACGTATAGGTAACAAAGAATATAGGAGGGTTGAAAACAGTAGAGGAGGTACTTTTTACTGGTTAATATACAGTTTATGTTAGTTGTTGGATTTTATCTGTAGCTTAGGGAGATTCTACAAAGTAAGAACACATTAAATTTGATACAAAATATTCTCCTTACCGGAATAGCATATGTCGTCAATGTTACTTTTAGAAGATAAATTCGGCGCCTTCCTACATACGCCGCAGAATTTCACATGTCATAATTGTGGGACTGGGTCATTTTCTCTGTTACGCTCTACTGATTCGGAATTCAAACTTTATCCTTGATTAAGTCCTGATTGTTCGTTTGCCAGACTCCTCCTGAAGGCGGTATACAAGTCGAATTCTCTAGCGAATTTGAAATCCCGCTGGCAAACTATGTAGGCGAAATCGTCTTCCAAAGAACTGTAGACTATTTAATCATTGAATCAGTGACGAAAATTAAAGACTTCAGACAATGGAAACACCGAGATCAAATATAAAATTTGACAGTCCATACTAAGCTTTCTAAGCTAAAGTGTTTCGTTAGTGGTTATTATTATTATTTTTTTTAATTAGATTTGGTTCGTCCAATTTTTTTCTTAGGCCCATGTGTCACCATACTTGGGTAACCAATGTTGCTGAAATAAAGACTGTATCTGAGACCTTAAATGAAGAGATTTCTCACGCACGTTAGTGTTGTGCTATAGAAAAAAAAAGAGTAAATAAAGGTGTATCTGCTACCAATATATATATATAAAATCATTGATTTTAGGTTTATATTTTTTATTAGCGCAACTGAGACTTTTCTAATAGCCAATCAATCATCTTAGTTGACTACAACCACATCTGTGCAATGTATAGAAACGTGAGGATCTCTTTTATTAAAAGTAGTGATATGCTATATCTAATGTGGTCCGAATTTATTTCCTTCAGCTACGTCCGAAATGACACGTATTTGGCAATCAGCTCACATCTGATACTTCGTAGTTCCTAGGCATACTTTAACTTGAATTGTACATCAACTTAAGTGCAATATAGTGTCTGCCTTTTGTGCGTCGAAAAAGGATCTCGCCAAAAAAGCCAAACACTGATCTTCTATCTGCGCTTTTCCTCTTCCGCAAACTGGGCTGATCATATGAGGGAAAGACGTGACCCTATACCCAATGACTAATCACCATAGGTCACGTGCTCGACAGCAGTCACTCTGAACACGAACCGCAGAATACTATACTAAGTTATACAGTGCTCAATTCAGCTAAAGACCCAAGTTTCAGCATAAAACCTAAAAAAAAAATATTAAAAAAAAAACAAAAGAAAGGATGTCAAAGGAGTGCCGTTTGCTTAGTCTCAATCTGAGGTTCTGGGAAAAATACCAATCGATAATTGCAACACTGTGATGAAGTACTACGAGTATACTGCGATCTAATGAAGTTCCAGCTGTCGAGGGTTTTCAGGGTACCTTTCTGATGTGATGAGTTATCAAAAGAGTTCTCCCCGATTAGCTGTAGCCTTACAATCGCTTTGCTGAATAAAAAGAAGAATATTGATATTAAGTCATTTGCAAGCGTGGCTCTTATTAGCATTAGAGAATGGCGAACGCTGTATATTTTACGCGAACAACGACACTGATGATATGGAAAACAGAACTAAACAAGCGGATTGTGGGTGCATAGTTTTGCTGACTGCGTACTTGCAAAACGTATAGGAAATCCGCCAGCATCTGAGTACAATCGATTTATAAGGCAAATTGCAAGCCACATGTCTTTTATGCTACATCTGTATGCATCGTAAATAAGATCTGCGCTATTCCCCGGTACTATGAGCGAAATTCCTTTCGGTTGTAACCAAGTGCCCCATCTTAACAATGGAAAACTTTTTTTCTTTTTCTCATTTTTCGATGACTTTAGATGAAGTTCCCTAGGTAACCACATAGCTATTTAACATTTCGGTTCAACTTTTCAAATACCATTCGTATCTCGTGCGCACGGTAACTTGTCATGAGGAATAAAACCGGTACATGTAGATCCAATTAGAATTTGGTACCGTATTTACCGTAACCTGACAGCCACGAAGTCCCCGCTAGCATTACGTCTATTGCGTTATCATGGCGTATGTACCAGTTGAGTCAACGTGAATTTCTTCTCCAACTTGGCATGTTAGTTACCGGTTGCTAACTAACTCTCTTTGGCCAGTAAAAGCATCTTTCAGGCAGTGCGGCCCCTGATGAGGATGTTGGCTTACAACGTAGTTCGCTTCTATCCCGTCGCACTTTCTCCGGACGGTGTAAGCTCTGTTATGTTTCCCGAGTGGGTCTCTTCCTAGAAGCGGGTTGCGTCCCCTCTTCTCTCCTACCATCTTGCCGCTGCCCTTGCCGCACAATATAATCCGATAAAACTTGTTATCCGTGGCCTGTGTGGCCTGCTTATTGTTGAACGTCTGTAGCGACTGTCTGCATGAGTGTATTTGTACAAAAAGAAGGTGGGATCTTGCCGCAAAAGTGGATCGGGAAGTCTAAGGAGTAGCACTATAAAAAGAATGTAGAGGAAGACGATAGGCAATTAATGGTCACTTGGTTGCAGTCTATGCCGGTGGAGTCCGGGAAACTCTGTAGTCCGGGGAATCGGGAGTTGGCCTGTAGTCCCTTTGTAGATGGCTGCTTATCCGATATTGGCGACATTCGATTATCCAACTAGCTGACGGTCATAGTCGTCTAAACGGGAGTAACGGTGGCAAAAACGGACAGTCTCTTCTTGATACCGCGAAGTGACAGATATGCTGTCGTAGTGGTATGGCCAACAAGCTATTGGTAAATATTGCTTAGATACCTATCACTTGAGATGCAATGTTACGGGCATGTAATAGTATAAAAGGCTTGAAATACTTTTCTGAGGCACGCACCGTTCCAAGTAAACGTGGACGTGCTCAATGTCTCATAATTTATAGTGCTGGACAGTTCTTAAAGTAAACGTTTATCAGGAATTCGTCAAAAATCACTTTCTATTATCAAATGGATACGTTTTGTATCGCCATAATATATGCCCTAACGTCTGCATGCCGATTCATATCAGTCCCCAAAAAATAATTAACATAATAAAAAATTAATAGCTATTTCTTACTTATAGCTATATAGCTTATTACAGCTAGTTATGTACACTTATAGCTAATTCACTTGAAGAAGCACACGGAGATCAAGAAGTTTTAGTGATGAAAAGTGTCCAACGAATGAAATGTTATCGAAACTTGAATATTAGGCACATTTTTAAAATGAAGTGAAACCAACTTTCCAGATTCCTGTCTACTTAACTTACCATTTTCCTTAGTTCAGTCAGCAATTGCCTATTAAAAATATAGTTTAAATTTCAGTTGACGTATTCCGAATTCATACAACGGACTTGGATATTATAAAAGTACATAGTAAATTATTACATATGGAGCAGTTTTTTTGCCTCGAAGCTTTGTACGATATTCTGAATTATTTTTGAAATTTTTATAAGACTTTGCTGCACAATTACTTTTAAAACACCGATGTTTTTTGTGGTGAACCGAATTTGCTCGAAGACTAACTACTCCCACAGAAGAAGATAAGGCTCATTTGTTTGTTCTGTTCTGGTGAGTTTAAGGACTCCGAACAAGTGTCTTGCAATGTTGCAAAAAGAAAGAATGTTACGCACCTCAAAAACAGTATGACCAAAGCAACGGCCAGCGACGACTGACCGCTTCATCAAAAGCAGATTGACGTTTTCTTTTACTTTTTAGCATTTTCTTCACTTCTCTGTCCGGTAGAAGACATCGGACATCGCTCAAACTAAAAATATAACAATTTCAACGACAAAGAAAATGTAATCATAGCGTTAGTCGATGACCCCTACCTTTGTTCCCCTGAGTGGCCCTTGCTTGAAATGTAAGACTAGATGAAAACGACTTGTTATGTTGCCCTATTGCATTTTCGGATTGATCCTTACAGGTTTGCTTATTCTGCATTTTATTCAATCTACGATGCGCTGGAATACAAAAGCGCAGTAGGAGTTCGTAGAGGTACCTCTCCTTTCTTACTAATAGATATAGTACCATTGTACGTCAACAGGAAATTTATCATTTGAGAGAAACGTAGATTATACGATTTGAATTTTCCATATTTCCACACTTGGCAATTTGCAATTGGGATTTTTTTTATTCCCTTTCGAATGCAACGTTTTCAAATTGTTCAGATTTGTTAACAGGACCTATATCTGACGAGCTCATTTATATGGTGTTTATCTATACCCATTGATCTATTCTGCCTTGATTAGTTCATCTGCTAGCCAAATCCTGTTTCGCGTCCGTGCGAGAAGTCTTTTGATAATATGAATGGACTATAGTTATTATCCATGGAAGGTTATCTTGAACCTACAAGGCACGAAGCGAAAGCAGCTCATCACTTGCTATCCAGGATCGGGTCTGAGTCACCAAAAAGGAAGAGACACAAGTGGATTAGATGGTTGTTGGTTTGCTCGCTCGCCGCGTGCAACAGCATTCAGTGAGTAACACTGATGCAATCGGATGCTTCCTCAACGAGTCAAAGAATGAGGTGAGACGCCACTTACCTTACTTCACTGATCAAAGGCGTCCGACAGGTGGCTGCAGATCGCTCACAACTCATCATTCTCCTGCTTTGTTGATCAGGGTGAGTCAGCAGTGTAAGCTATATCACCAGAGGGGACTATGAAACGAGCATATTGAGCAATTACGATTCTGTGGATGCTTCCAGATTTTTTTGTCTATGTACCTGACTTATGATTGGGAAGTTAGGCTGTCCAGGCCGCCGTCGTATATTCCCTATATTTACACCTGTTCGATTACACTAATTAGCTGTAGTTCTAATTAGTCAAGCTTCGTGACAGTGCTCCGTGGGTTAGCTGTCGAAGTTCGTGTGTCTTAAGGACGAGGCGGACTGAGATCTACGGCGAACTTCGCAGGGCTCACTGTGTAACTTAGAAGCCTCACCTCTACCGTTTATGGAACGCTAATGTATTTCCAGACATTGAACACATTCGTGAGAATAAAATTTATATTGACGTTGCAAAAAAAAGTCAATAAATCCAGACACCAATTTTGCAACCCGTATCAATCTTTTTACGAAATGTATGTACATACTGATCAAATAAAATTAAATCCTCCTTTATAAAACGGAGCAAAGTTCAGGTAATTTTATTGAAATGTCTTCGTTCATTTTCGTCAGAGTCGAAGGCTTTAGAACAAGACAAATAAAAAGTAGGTCGTTCTCTCGTTAATTTAACTAAGACTTTATACGGACTGCTTATCAGCAAAATATGGCTTAAGCTAATAGAAAAGTTTTATTTTTTACTAGACGGCCTAAATCGATGCTTCAGCCATAGGTTTACCGAGTCAACTAGAAGCACGTAAGAGAAATTACACATCTTCATTTCACCCTGCCATTTAAACTTTGTTTCATACAAATAATCAGTTGGGAAGTTATAAAGAAGACCTGCTTACATCGATATAAATGTAAAAATGCGAACTTTTCGAACTAGCAACAAACATTAGTATAGAAATTGTTGAAACACGATAAACCCACCTCTTCACGCACAACTCAGCCAACACGAAACTCAAAGCTCATCATACACTTATTGTCCACACTGATTATACATGTATATATAGAAATTCTCTGTTGTCCAATAAAATGGCGATTAGACAATAATCTGTAAGTATAGCCACGCTAGATTTAAATCTACTGCAAATAATCCTTTTCATAAGTTTGACATTGCGAAGATGAAGGTACAAACTAAACGAAATTACCGTTAACGTTAGATTATGCATCACGACTCTGTTGTTAATCTCTTGCACGGAATCACATAATATATATAAATCACATAATAAATAAAAGAGTAAATAACATTTTTCCAAATTGAATTCAGTATAGTTTTTATCCCTTCAAGGAGATAGAATTGTTATTAAGAATTCTTAAGGAGGTTTGCTTTCTTTTTAGGTCGTAATATACGTATAGGTGTTGAATGTGGCCGTTCATTTGTATTTAGCCGAGCCAACACTGCTAAGAAATACACTGTCATGTTTTTGTTCTTTTAGTCCGCGTTCTGCATAGCAACGAACAATGTATCGTATGATGTTAACTTCATTATCATGATCTTCATTAATTATGAAGATCTTCATTAACTTCATTAATTATGATCAGGTACTGTGGACAGGAACCACTGCAACGCCCGATGCTGTGTACCGTCGTAGTCTGCAACGGCGCGTGACTGCTGTAGTGTTGGCGCTTACCAACGTCAAGCTAATCGTCTGCAAAAAGGCGGGCTGTCCTGTTGATCTAGAAGGTACTAGCGGGCTTCCCAAGCATGCACATATACATGCGAGTGTTTCTCAGAATATATAGGACCCGTATAGTTTTGACGATCGTCCCCTTATCCTACAACTATATCATGTCAGGATGGAAGATTCTAGGTAGCTGCATAGAAGCAACATAGAGCTAAATTTAGCGTTTCTATAATTCGACTGACGAAAAAAACTTTGTCATGGGATTTTAGACAATAGTAGGGCACGGTGATTCAGAGACCCAGATGCTGTTCGCTTCAGTGCTGTAATCTCATAAAGAGCGTCATCGTTATAAGCAGTCCGATCGTCACTTTCGTCCTCGCCGTGTCTATTGCGCCTCCCTTCTCGAAGCCGCTACCATATACCCTTACCCCTATCGAATTGACAGAAAGAGAAGTCCCCAAGAGTGGGGCCATATTGTAATACTCTCCTACGACTCTTCCAAGCGACTACGGTCTGGCTAACTAAGATCATTTCAAAGCTCTGGTTCGGCCACAGGGCTCGATTCTGTTGAATTGAACGAACATTAATGCCAGTGGAAGTGAACCCGTGCACTTTCCTTCTTCTTATCTTCCTGTTTTTCGCGGCATCTAAATGCACCATAGCGTGCCCGCTGTTTCCTACCCAGCAAATAACAATCGCTGCTCATCTCTTTAATTTCCGGCGGACGACCTTAGATCATCGGCGGTTACTCTAAACAGGTACGTCGTTTTTGTACTGCGGAGTTTAGCTCGTTTCTAAACAAATAGAAAAATGTGTACATTGAGAACAGGTATAAGCCAGTGATAGCCAAATATGTGCTCTGAGTGACGTACGTGTTCAAAAAGTATTGTGATTTCTGAAACCCTTGGGTCTATCCTGTACAATGTCTCTTAGAGTGCGAATGGAGTATCGTAGTAGAAATGCGCGCTTTTTCCCCGTGATACGTGCTGCGGTGCTAACAATGAAATGGCTACATCTTTCGTTTATCAATTGTCTCCGATTTAGAACAGTAAATGACCATGCTGATTAGGTAATCAGCTAATATTAGAACTTGATAATTTTCTGATCTCAGCATTGGTATCGTCGTGACATGAATTATAAAATAAGACATTTCACACCACGCGCGAATTAGAGCATGATGACGCCCAAATGACTTGCAAAAAATGATTCGTCTCCACAACGATAAACCAAATTTTTTCGCCTAAATTTTTCGATAAAGCGTGCTTTTTTCGTGAAAGTTTTACTACTAATGCGTTTTTGTATATCCATGCAATTGCTCGAACTCAAAAAACAAAGGTGGGAACTGCAGTCAAAGCCCGACAAACAGCGTTCGCGCAAACCAAATAGTAGCGCTTAAGCAATAACCAACTTCGTACAAAGATCCCTACTTATCGTTTTCATTGTCCCGCGCACATAACACACTTGCTTTACATACTCCCGCGAATAGATCTACTTTCATTTGGACAACCTGTTTAGACAAAGATATATGCATGTCTTAAATTGTCATTTAATGTCCGTCAAATGTATTTCTTCTCATTTTTCGTTTGTTGGGGGATGTTGTTATATAGCATTGTCATAATTTTTCTTAGATCATAAAATTCTAGCGTGAACCTAGTCCTACATACTGCGCATATCCTAAATTGCCACAGCCGCATGTTGATCTCGGCGGAAGGCACATAGAAACTGGTGAAAAGTGTGTCATCCAATGAACTTACGTTTGAAATCCGAACTTGTAGAAATTTTCAGATCCAAACAAAACGATGAAGCTAGGCTTGCAAAACAAAAAAAAAAGTTTTCCAGCGCTATTTATTAACCATAAGCAAAAAAAAAAATAGAAAAGGAAGCCATAGATAATAACTTATGCGTTTATTATAATGGGACCGGTCTTTGAGCTATGCTTTTTCTTCATAGCAAACATAGGGTTATCTAAGGTGAGAGAAAAATCAACATCAGTCCTTATAAGGTTTGAGCCTTACGTGGCCCTATCCTTCCATTTCGTTACTCAACAAACGAAACTAGCGTACTGGTAAGCTGGCTTGCTCCTGTTGTAGATATTTCCTTTTAAGTCACGTTCACCCTCCGATAGTTATCTGGCTCTCCACTTCTATTGCCATCGCTCTTTAACGGTAGCCATTGGAAACATCCCAGCGTATCAAGACACGAGCTCTGAAAAAGATTGTGCATACAGGAGATCTCTTTGGCTATCTTAGCTTTGCCGCCTCTTTCGATCTTGGTACGAATGCAGCCCCATTGAAGCGCGACTGCTTGTCCTGGACCTGTCGCCCGTGATTCAGACAGCGACCAACGTGAGCCTCTTATGCCCACATCTGTTTAGGCCTCAAAGGGATCTCGGAGGAAACGCTCTACCCATGAATCAGTGACGGTCTCTTACACGACAGCTTTTAATAAGCGAAACGTGAAAAAGAGGTATACTGTTAAACATTGTTGAGAAGAGCTAGGCAAGGAGCGCCGACGTTTCAAACTAATTCTGATTAGGAAATAATTGCGGCTACATTATAGCTAGTCTATTTAAGCCTTTGAAAGGGGATACAGTGGAAAAAGTAAACGTATAATTAGTAACCTGTACGAAGTCTTATTAATTGTGTGTTAATTTTTTTTATTAAAGTACACATTCTAAAACATTAGAAGAGCAAGTCTGTAACTCTAATGCTAGTAAGAATAAGTGACCATTCATACAAATTATATCGCACAGTTGTGCATACTAATGATGCCTGTAGTGGACCTGAAGCCGCGTCGTGAATCGCGTTCCATGAGTAGCTCACCTTTAAGCCTGCTAACTATACCTGCGTGTGTGATCGCTAAGCGAAAGTTTCGACTTTTTCTACGGACTTGCACTTAAAATATCTCTGTAGTAAGCCATTTAGATCATTTGTGTTCTTCTCACACGGTACTTAAGCACACCTCGATACTCGACAACGTAGATATATATGCAAGATATTGATGTTCTCTATGTTTCGTAGTATTACTTCTATAAATCCCTTCCCAAATAGAATATATCCCTTCAATTGCCGGCTCATGTGATATATACAAATTACAATATTTTCTTTTCAAACAAATATGCCAGTATACAATGGTACTTGGAACATATTTAGCTTTTACGATCATGGGCTGAACAACACGCATTATTTATAAAATAAATTTATATTAATAGATGAACTTTTTTGAATTTGCAATTAGAAAATTCATTTGGTTGAATCATTGGTTTTCTATAATCATCTGCATATTTGCTCTATTCCAACTGATTTTGTCAGATTCAACCCAAAAACTAAGCGTCTGCTATCGCATCGCCCACCAAATTGGTCATGCGCACACGAGAAGCATAGTAGTGTAGACAACAATAAACGTATATACTATATAAATAAAGCGACCTTAAATGACTGTTTTTGCAGATGCGCGAATAACCGCTGAAGGTGTTTCAGTTTCCTAGGTAATTAGAAGGCTTTGGTCGAAGAATAAGAGGCGCTATGCTTCCAATTGGGGGGAGCATACACCGCACAATGCCGTGTCCCTGCTTTGACGAAATCCTAAGCAGGATTCAAAGGGATCAAAGGGATTCAAACAGGATCGAAAGACGTCGTGGATGGATTCAGTTTATACATTGACAGTTCCTCGTGAAATCAGTGCACGTTTTCGCTTGCCGCTCATTTTTGAGCAGAGGATCCGAAGTACTTACAACGCACGTTCACGAACGACCTTTTTGTGGCTCCTTAAATCAAGCGTGATAACGAGCGAAAGGAGTATACCGTAAGTGGGGATCCATAGTAGAAAACTGCTGTCTCGCAAATAATGTTGAAAGAATTTAAGGTTTTACCTTAAGTAAAAATAAATTCTACCAGTCACTGAAACAGATAGATAAAACTAATATATATAGAAGTCGGCAAAAGGATGAGGATAGGCTACAGTCGACAGTATCGTTTTCAAATAGTTAAAACGGCGGAAAGAGATAGACTTACCTGCTCTTAGATTCCGCTATGGTGCATTGAAGATAACAGATAAAAAGTATATGTTGTCAGATATTTTTTTGCCTCGAGGTAAATTTACAGCCACGTTTACAGGAATCGACTACAGATGTTTTCAGAACTCGGTTCGGATACTCGCGTAATGTATACGAAACCAAAGAAAGAATGGGAAAAAGGTATTCTTAAGGGACATATACGCATAAAATCGCCGCGATAATTCTCCAAAAAAGGTCTACAAATAAAAAATATTTACGAATATATGAAGCCGAACCTATCTATATTCCATAGTCACCGTGGTGGCAGTATACAGGAATAATGGCTATTTCAATGCAATGTTGAGCTATAAATGTTAAATTAGGCATTTCATTACAAATTGCTAAAAATGGTTTTATAAAGATAGAAGAAATGGAACAAAATAAGCTATTCGTCCTTTGGTTTCCTATATGGTGTCACTTTTCGGCGACAACTATGAACGATAAAAAAACAAGGTAATGGAACATAGACTTTTTATTTGACTGAAATATACCTGTACAGTTTCTTCTCTGTTTGAGCGTTGTGTTTCACACTGAAAACCATTAATTCTCTAAATCTAACTTCATTATATAATACCTCAGCTATTTCTCACAGATTTTTCGCTGTCATTATTTGTCATCTCTCGTAACCGTGCCATTGCATTGTATAATTTTGGAAACTTTTATGCTTCCAATTATTTCATGAGCTATAGAGCTATGGTAGTTGGCACAGCAGTCTCATGGGACGGATGAGTACAACGCTCATCCCTATTTGCTCTCTTTAGTCTACTACCAACAACTAGCTAGAACTCCGTGAGCCTTAACGCTCTCACCTTGCCTCTTATTATTTCTAGTTTTATTTTTAGAAGCGTACATCTCTCGATTAGTTATCAGTATCTATCTGTACCGCTTCTGGGCAACGGCGTCTGACTTACGGCCTGATCACGTCGTGTCAGATAATTTCACGTGTATCGTCACCAGCCAGCGCAATGTCTGACAAATTCTGTACGCTGTGCTTTTGGGCTCTGTCACGCTGACTTTCCTGCAGTCCTGCGTAAAAGTCCTAACTTAGAATGCAGCTCTAATTGCAAAGCTTCTTATTTATACAATGTGTTTCTATTTCGAGTTCCCCAACGATATTACTGACGGTTAATATATTATAGAACCCTTAGTTCAGAAGTGAAATACAAGAAATTGATCAGTCACTGCATGACTCGCGTGCACAATTTGTATAAACCAATTAATTATTTTCAACTATCTTCACTCATAGCCTAAATATGGACGATCACTCTCAATTGTCTGAACTGTTAATCACTTGGAATTATCAACTGCTGGTATTATACCGTACAAACACCGACGTCTTCCAGAGCAAACTTAATTGCTAGAGGCTTACTATTTCGTACAATAGCTTAGGAGGGGTAACATATCCTTAAAAAAGAATGCCCCCTAAGACTATCAGTCATCCATAGTTGAAAGGTACATAAGTCAATTCTAGACAATGAAAGAATAGTTTACTATCTTTGTTGGGTATCGATGTTTCTTTCATTTAGAAACTAATAAAGATACCTGCGGCATATAATTACTTGTAACTATTATATTATAAGTTATTATATTTTCTGTCTCACATTTACATTCGGAGCTATGCGTAGCTAACCTGTCCATAATCCACGGGATCAACTTTTCAGTTTTGTTGATTAATATATTTGTGCTTTTCGTAGCGGAGAGGCCGTGATTTGTCCAATGCGAGTAAACGTTTGCTGGCATCGTTGACTTTTGGGTCATACTCGGGACAGGCTAAGCGCGCTGAAATACTTTGAGAGTATTCATTGATGATTGCTAATTGACCTCAGGCAAATCGCTCATTTTTTCCTCCTCGGACCATCACAGCGCGAAAGTTCTGAAAGATCGCGACACAAATCCTTTCCAATCTAAAAAAAAGCAACTTGCGTTAGAATCTTTCTCTTCACTTAATCAGGCGGCTGAAAATTAAAAAAAATCCATGGACAATGATCAGTTGACTAGGTATAGTAACTCTGGTCGACAATCCGATTTTTACGAGTTCTAGAAGAAAAGTTTCAATAATCATGACAAATATAACGGAGGACTTTTTCGTCATTAACGTTCGATGCGACGTCCTGTGAAACGCGTACAGATGTTTATGTTGAAAGCCAACTACATTTAGTTGTAAATGCGTATGGAAATGAGTAGCTGACACATTGTCGCAGGGTGCCTTTATAGAAGTACGACTATTACAACAACTACATTGAATTTGTGAGAGAGGGTTATCGCGGTTTACATATAGTAGCTTTGGTGAAGAGAGATCGCAAGGGTACACCAGTTGTGGCCCGAGTTTCAGTCAGGACAAAAGGCTACTCCGTGACGGTGAAGTGGTCAGGTCGCAAGATATTCACCGATTACGTGCTACATCTGAAACCAAGCCTGCCACCTTTTGGCCAAGCAAACCTCTCTATGTACGCCTCTACAACTATTGTATACTTCTAAAGACTAAATGATACGCTAATGATTGATTTGTCTGTGTTGTGATTTTGAATGTATTCGAATGGCCATGCCTGTGAGGTACCATACACCTATGCGGTTCCGCAAGACAACCATGTAGAGTAATTAAACCGAAATCTTTGGATTTAATTAAAAAGTTCTCCGTGATAAAGTCGACGTTCTCAATATTCATGCATGTCTATTAAACAAAGTGTATCGTATTTTGTTTCTAATGTTAGAAGGGATGTCAGAAAATATAAAAATGTATCATCCTGTCTCCCTTACCAGGAATTCACAGACTTCCCTTAAGCTTTTGTTAAACGTGTGATTTTGGCATGATGCAGTTTTCGTTTGCCAATAACTCCGACGCCATGATGGACGATTTTCCGTGAATTTGAAAATGAGATTCGTTTGCGGAGCAAACTTTTTCCCAGCTGTCAAAGGTGCAATTTTTTTAATCGATTTGTGTAGTGAAGACAGGCTTGTTTCGTTTCTCAAAGTTTCTTGACAAGTCTACTATCTTAAATTCCGTTTCTTTGAATCGGTAGCAACTCTTGGCAATTGACGGTTATTAAATCTGTTCTGGAGGACATTATACGATATGAATCTAGATTTTTCAAGCTCCTACGATTCTCGCGCTACGTAGAACACTTTTTTCGATGTTTGTTACGGATTTTACAGTAAGAGGTCTTCAGTCTACAGTAAGAGAGATTTTCTAACAGTGTTGGGGACTGCATACGGAACATTTTAGCTGTTTTACGTTGTGGAGTGCAATTGTTTTGATGAAACAATCTGCTAGTCAGTGTTGTCTGCTCCTCAATGACGTCTGTTCCTTTTTCTACTTTGACATTTTACACACAGAAATACGTGGAATCACTAGAAAAACACTCAAGGCAGTTAAGCTCACTTAAACACAGTCACTCAGTCGTCATAGATGGTGAGAACAACGCGCTCGCTGTGAATACGATGAAATGTCGTAATGCTGAGTTAACTGAAATCTGGCATCAGAGTTATGACACTAGCGATTGGTGAGATAAAATACGTCTGTTTTATGTATCACATCGTTCATCAGTAGCTATCCGATGTTTTCCGATCTAGTTATTGATATGTCGGGTAACTGTGTAAAGCAGAATACTTCTGTTTTCGTAAGCCAGAAATATCTTGCCCTGCGCTGTACGATTGGTCCTGAAAGCTGAAGCTATTTTATCAAGTTTATCCGAGTCCATCTAATCGAATACCGAACCTATTTGCCCCTGTAGCTTCGATGATATATATATATATATATGTATATGCTAATTGCTTGAATACCGCAAGCAACTCTCTGCGATACTATATAATTGTGTAATATCATCAGTATCTCGACAAAAAAGGACGAAGATCAACGTAAGTACAAAGTATTGCTATGGCGGAACGCGAACTTAGTGTCTATAGGCTCTTCCACAAGAGACAGTCACCATATAGTAATAAGCACAATGTGGTCTACAGTCTACAAACTGTTTTTAGCAACATACCCTTTTACAGATATATCCTGTAAAAATGACTGCCGGCGAGGACCCCGTTAGTAACCGAACAGATATGGAGTGTTTGAATATAGGGGAACAGGATACTGAATCGTCAGAGCAGGAAGATTCTCGACGTGAGTCTATTCCACTCATTTTTGATCATTCGTACACCGAACGGCAAAGTCATCTACACCGAGAAACCAAATGGCTTGGTGACAAAGGTAAATATTTGCGCTTGACATTTTTTACTGCTAAAAAACTAACAATGCTTTTTTTTTGCAAAGAAAATTGGCGTATGCATTTGTGTAAATGCTGTTTGATGCATACGACGTCTTGCTAAACTATTGTTGAAGGTCAATTAAGTTTAGTAACGTAATAGAGAATTTCGTTTCAGCACGTGAGCTCCACCGAAAGTTGGCCGTTTTAAAACGTGTCCAGAAAGACATTGAGGAACGAACTCGCATTTTGAGGGAGAAGAACCTTGAACTACTAGAACGGAATCAGCAACTCAGCGCCGGTAATCGTCAGCTTCGAGACGAACTTGTTGAAGTTAGCGCGGTGCGCAGGGAGAGAGAAGAATATCTACGTTTGGCCATCATCCATCAGGAGGTCTGTCAAACGTGGCCAAGCACATAAAACGTTATTGACGGAGTCATCGCTTTTGTGTGTGAAGCAAAAGTTTGCTGGAGTTTACCGCGGTTCAGGCATACTCAAGAGGTCACTAGTTCTCCCTTTTTCCGGCCATGGGGTGCTTCTTTAGGGTTCGCAGATTTCTCGAAAGAGCATACTGTGGCTCCACAACGCGATCTTTTTGATGAAGTGTCAAAAACGATTCCGCAATATACTACATGCTAGGTTTTCTCCAGGGCAAATATGTTAATTTTCCTATATTCGTCTACTAATTATAGTTCGAATATAGGTAAAGGGGGGGGGGGGGGTAACTTCTTTTGCCATTGGTCTTTCTGGTCTATAAATACATATTGCAACGGTAACGTAAGGTCTGAAACAAAAAACGTGCTTAATTTAGAGGTGGCATCCATCCCATGCTTTTACTTTAAAAATAGGCGCTACAATATAAATATTTATTCGGGGAAAAAGAGCTACACGGAAAAGTAACGAAACTTTTGACAAAGTTACTTAACTTTAAAAGCATTCTTTAGATACACGGTTTTGCCTGCTTGACTGTAATGATGTGATTCAGGCCCAACTGCCTGCTTAAAATGCAACAACAGGTGTAATAAGGCGCCATTCTTCCGCTTTTTTTTTTTTTTTTTTTCTACTAGCAACGTCATAGGTCTAGTGGAGGTTCTGGTATTAACGTCGCTACGTTGAAAGGGATATACGTAGTGTGAGCCAATGCTTTCGGTACAAATCATAGAAAAAAACCGTGTCTCTCCTTCGTCTGTTAGAATCTATATATAATGAAAATGATATAATCATATCGAATTGGGAATGTCAGCCAAATGCTGAGGTGAGACCTGAGAAAAGATGCCTATACATTTTACCGGCAATTATTTGCACACAATGCAGGCCCACGTCAATTAACGTTGGGATGAACCGCCGATATCGGCATGAAAGATGCCCATTACGGTTGTTCTGCCCCAATGACTCCCTGCGCAGCGCAACTAATCCGTATTTGCCACTGCTAAGAAATCCATTTCTACTAACGGCCTGAACACTTCGCTTGCATATTATAAGTACAGGTAGTGTCGTCGTACTTGTATAATCGAGTCTATATTCAAATTCAGGTTTGACGTACATCCAACAAGGTCAAGGATACAGTATGAGAATCAGCTGATGAATAGGCGAGCGCAGATTTCAACGCATAAATATCAAACAATTATCTCTCTTAAAGATACTATCCTACATTTAATACATGTCACATACTTGTCTTAATATTTGAAATAACAGTGTTCCCCTAGCAGATGCTATGAGCTTATATGCTCGCTGCTAAGTACGTATGAGTGAAGTAACTGTCTGGCGCCTACATAATAGCCCCCCAAGCATGCTTGTTACTTCGATTATCTCAGGCTATGCTGTTAACGAACATACGTAACAATCGCTACTGTGATGTTTCACTATGTCCACCATCATGGATAGGTCCTGCAATAGTTCTCGCGGAGCCGCCCTTGAGAGAGAGAGAGTCTAGTCTGTTAGCTTTTGCTATTTTCTCTTCGGTACGTCTCGTTGTGTAAGCGGTGTAGTCGCGTGTTATGTGACTCAAGAAGGCGTGCTCCACAACAGCGACCTGTTGCTTGAGAGCCGAGGCCAGCTTCACGGTATGCCATGCTATTGTGGTGATATAATATCTTACTTCATCGCCATTATGGTTACCTTTTGACGTAGAAGTCTAATATTTAGGCTTTTTGTCTGCTCATGTGATTTTGTTGGAATATTTCAGTTCACTTGGGAAGATAATGCAAAGGATCAGTACTCAGATCGTCACGGCGACAAAGAGCCTTGAGAGGGATCTTTTTCGTTAACCTACGGGTTGAAACGACGAGTATTTCCATATTCATAACGTAGATACGTTTATGTAACATAGAAGTGAGACTATATAATCAATTTCTGGTCATGTTTTATACTCACTTGCATACGTTTGTATATGACACATGAACGGCATAGAAAGAAAAAAAACTAGCATACCTTAATTTACCGTACTTTGGTACAAAGCTCTCAGTAGGTCACAGGTTGTTTAGTCGAACGGAAGAGCTTTTCTTCTTAGAATGATGTCATTCCTGTTTAGTTTAGACAATATGACATCTAATTATGTGAAGTTATATTGTGTAGTGACCCTGTTAATTGAGAAAGAGATGATTAGCAGAAGTACAACACAGGCATTTCTGTTTAAAGAAAAATTGTTTAAACAAGAAATTATAGCCTAGCTTATTAAACAGCATGCACTAATAACATAGTATTACTTACAATGTATGGTTTTGCCATTGAGATACGGAAGCATTTAACTAGCAAGTTTCCTGATGAAAGACACAGTGATTCGAAACGGTAATGAGACCATTGCAAACGATAATTCTGCATCTAGTTTGTATGAACATCAAATAAGCTACAAAGTACTCTAAAATAAAGGTGTATACGAATGTCTACATCACCATATATTGATTTTTTTGTACACACTATAATAAATATTTGTACAAACAAAATATCCCGAGTACTTATTCTACATGCATGCACTAATTATATAGTGTGTCGATTTGTTGATATCGGTATTAACAAGCTAACTCTGTAATGGTTATCCATTGGTCGTCCTTTAAAACAATCAGGCTCTCATCAATCAATGGCGTGGCGGTCCTGCCTACCAGTCTAACAGTTTAAGCTTGACTCTGCGGGTAGGTACGTTCTTCCAAAATGGGTTGTCCAGAGCTGTGGTAATTGGGTTAGGTAAATTAAGGGCGCATGAATCGTCATTTTGAAAGAGATGATAATTTGAAGAAATGCTAACTTTGTCGATACATTTCGTGGCATATTGAAATACTAGCCGTACTAGTTAGTTTGAAGATTTATAAACAAGATTCTATGGAGCCTCTGTTTACCGGACCTGTTCTCTGCTCAAAGGAAAGTAATGCCCTTTAATAGAGAGAAAAATAAGGCACTTTTCTGATTATTCATTTATTACATATTATAATTAAGAAAAAAAAAAACAAATCTATATTCGAAAAGCGTGATGATACGGCCGTTCGCTACTGGCACCATGATTCGATAATTTATTTTCCGTGGTACGCTAACACGTCATGCTGTTCGTAAAAACGCCTACACAGTGAGCCAATATTGCCGTTTTGAAAAGGTAGAAGTTAGCAAAACTTCCTATGCAGCAGATCTCTCCGTGCAAGAATGACAAAGTTATACAGAAATCAGCCAGTAGAAAACAAGGTTTTGCATATATTTGCAGACTGTAACGTTTTTATTAGACATGATGTGATTAGCATTATTTTGGTTCTTCCTTTGATTGATTCAACTATCATAAGCCATTTTGGTTTATCGCTTCGTTTTTCTATATAAGTATTATATACAATCAGAAAGCTTTTTCTCTAAGCAGTCGTCAGTCTTCACAGGGTTTTCTCACAACTTCGCGTATGTCATGCAAAAACAGAGATGAATTTCGCCGTCGTCAAAAAGCTGCAAGATCAAATGCTCTACGGCTAAAATATACACCCTTACCTAATAACTACCCTGTTTCGGAGTTTGCCCCTGGAAATTAGGTGATCCCCATCGATGTCGTGAGATATGTTTTGCTCGAGCTTAAGCAGGGACTCTTCAAGCTACTCGCTAGCTCTTTAACATTGATCAAAAATGAATAAGAAAATATCAGTATACGAATTTCAACTCGATCAGTTTTCGGGAAACGTCGTTACTCATAAAAGGTAATCCGACCTTATTATCCGGACTTATAATTTAGGGGAATCGATTATAATTGCCGTTCCGGTGAATGTTGCATCTCTGGTGCGGACTGTTCACACCGTTCAAGTTGCGACGCTAGCCACAGTCCTTACCGTAGTCGTGTTTTTAATAACTTTTTTCTGCAAATCGGCGTACTGAAGGTTTGTTCGTTTCTTCATCGCCTTCTTCAATTTTTCCTATACTTCCTATTAACAGTGAAAATACCAAGTTAGAACATGAATAGCCTATTTTGTTTTCCCTAATCAAAGAGTGTGTTTCACTCAAATTATAGCAATAAATTCTAATAGCAACAAATAGAACGACATTCTCCCATTAGTTAACTAATTTACTATAGTTCTTCTCACCAAGAACTTTCAAGTCTAATGTTGATGGACAGTTTTTGAGATGGTCCTCACCACCGAATTTCCATTTGCCAATTTCATTTGTCGCTAACCGGAATAGGGAAGCTTTATTGAAGCGGGGTGTGGAGAACATTTTGACTGCAAAAGTACCTCTCACTCAGACTCTTGCAGGACGGTTAACATATTTTGCCATATGCAGTTTTACATTGCGGTTGGTGTCGTAGTAGAGAAAAGTGATTTTCCCTTTGTTTTTTGTTGGATACCTCGTTCGCTTAATGCAACTGATCTGTATATAGATCCATTTAGAGACCTTTTCGAGCATTTTTTAGCGTATAGAAAGAACCCTTTCAATCTTACCAAGCAGAAAACACAGTTCTTTTGAGCTGGAGATCTGACCTAATTCTCGGAACTATCCATTTTATCTTTGTTTTACATAGATGTAGAGACATATTTTTTTTTTTGCTACCGATAACGTTTTTATGTAGAAATCTGTCAATGTGGGTACATGTTGTTTGGTTGGACGAGATACTGAGAGGCAATGAAAGCCGTGTCTTCCTGTCATGTTCCTTCAGTCCATGGATCGGTCATTTGAATCTCTAATTTCTGGGTAAATCCTGTAGATCTAAGATGACTGTTAGTAGTACGATTATTACAGTTCATTTTCTCCTCCGAGTGACGAACTGTTCGCCGGCCGCTTTACCCTAAAAATACATATCCTAAAAAAATTTAGTCAATTTATATCGACTTAGATGATCGACCTGGACCGAGTGCATCCTCCAGTCCCAAGATGTCGTTCCTGAACATCTTAAATCAGTTCTGAGTAGTTGTCTCAGGCCCTTGCTGTGCACGGCACAAATACCTCGTGCTGTTTCGGCAGCTCTTTGAGCTGGGCAAAAGGCGAAATAGAATAAATGTCAAAAAGGCATTCGGCAATTTGGTATTTTGAAGCTATTATAATATTATAATAATTAATAAGTATTTTAAAACTGAAGTTATGATGGATTTACAAAGTATATAGAGAGAGTAATTCTGATAAAATATATAGAAGTAAACTAACAGTGGACAGTTAAAAGCAAAAGAGGAGGTAAAGATTAGTGGAAGGTACTTGTGTTCCAAACTAATATAGACCTTATACTAAGCATGTTTACTGGCGTAACTGGCCACCTACATACCATGGAGATGCCTACCCTGTAAAAATTTCATTTGTAAGTTCGTCCTTTAGATCTTCATATGAACTTAAAACTTGAAAGTCTGAGAAGCCACAGTTCTTTACCATACTATAGAAATTTTGAAACCTTTCAACAATTACGTGCTTCTTTTATTTAATAAACAATAGGCCTTGTCGGAGAATCGACGCATAGACATACTTGCGGGCGCAGGACGCTAAATTAGCTCGCTTTAACGGAACTTGAATTATACATCTTCACCGAAGTCGTTCTGTGGATTCTCGATATGATTTAATCAATTTCAAATTACCTTGTATCTCTAAAGACAACTGTGTGATAGAAGCCTTAGACACAAGTTCCAATGCACACTTATTAAACTTTAAGCTTGTCAAGTTATTCCCATCATCCGATGCTTAGACGCCGTCTTAGTAAGATTAAATTCATTGTGTCAACTTGGGGGAGAAAATTTATTTTTGTAAAGGTAATTTAGAAGCATTGGTAGGCAACCGCTTACGTTTATTTCGTATCAACGGTATCTACTGGCGGACGGCAGTTACCCTTCCCAATGATTCTCCGGTCTATAATAATACGGTTGTATCTATCGCTTGCTTTGGTGGCTCTGTTCGTTATTTAGCTAGTAAACGTATGTTTTTTCTTGAAGCGAACCTGGGGATCATGGCCTAAATACTGTTGTCGAATGTTGCAGTTGTCTTCCATTAGGTAATAAAGTTTGCCTTATCTAAGGAAGTAAGTTAATGACAGAAAGATGCCTTAGTTGTCGAATGATGAATTCAGGTAGCTTTTACCATGCACACAATATGGCCCGGTTATGCCTTAACAGCAGTGTGTGTTCAAGTAGGGTTTTTATGAATAGAAGATCCTTCAGTATCTAAAACGAGTCTGTCTTTGTCAACAATAATCAGTTTAAAGTTGCTGCAGGAGACGGAAATACATAACTTATGGGCTCGATGTGGCTAACAGTATGTTTGGATCGTAGTAATGCACGTCTACAAGTGTAGTCCTATTTCAAAATCATCAGTGACAACTTCCCAGACAAAGGTTTTCGCATCGATGCGATATTGAAGGATAGCTCCAAATAGAAATGGGTGGTCGTCATTTGTTTAGTTATCACTACTAAGATTATGTAAAGAGATATTTTAAAAAAATGCTTTCCATATGTTAAGAGGCCATTTCTGACGCTCTTTATTGTTCAATGCAGTGACTACCGGTGGTTTGGCGCCTTAGGCTTGTTTCAATGTTCTTCTTACAAATGTATGAATACCTTCTCGATAGTATAAGCGGGCGGATCGACGTTGTTATGTGGAGGCTTGTTGGATTCTCACTGTGTAACGTTCCATGCAGTCATCTAATGGTTTCGAATTTAAGCTGCACGGTGGCTATATGTTCTCATAGCAGAATATGGTCATATTTTCAAACCAAACTCGCATGCGCGAATGCACCATCATACCGAAAACTGTATGGCCTTCTCTCGGACGCTTTAGCTATCCGCGGTTACATTACATTTTATAAATCACACAGATAAACTTCTTTGGCAATATATTCTCCATTAGCGTCATGACGTGTTCTTTATTGGAAAGCACACTTACAGCATGGACAGGGCTGGAAAATTTTATCCATGATAAGCGCACAATCATTCTTCGGATTGATCTTGCGTTGAAAATAAAAATGTTCTCGTTAGAAAAAAATCAAAATCGACCTGTTGCTCTGCTACGGGTCTAGGCCTTAGGAAGCATGTGTCTGAATTTTATAATATACAATCTTTGACGTAGCCCCCTCTCGCGAGAAATGTCTTCGCCAACTACCTAATTAAGACAGAACGTTGTTGGAATCGTTGTTTTCTGCCCGTCGTAAATTTCGAGCCGCACTAGAAC